TTAATATAATGAAACAGTTGAGTAGCAACCAAGAGCACAGACACTCAATGACCTCCAGTGGTGTAACCGCTGTCAGTGTGACCGGAGGCAGCTACCTATGTAGTCTGTAGAAAGCAGGGCAGCTCACTAGGTTTGGAACGGAGCTGGGGAGAGCGAGGGGAGGAGATGAAGGGGCAGACCTGACAGGCCGTGATGGAAAGTTGTAGGCTGGCAGGCATTGTATTCTAAAGGTCATTGTGATCCCAGTCTGAATAGCTCTGGAGTGATTTCTCTTTATGCAAGCGGACTTTAAAAGCATATTACACTGCCTGACCTGAGCACACACACACACACTCATACAGTCAGTATAATTTTTTTTTAAAGAAAGAAAGACTTTAATTCAACAAAGATACATTAAATTAATAAAAAAAAAAAAACAGAAGAATACAGAAAAAAACACATTGAGCAGCACAACTGTTTTCAGCATTGATAATATTACGAGAGCGAGAGAGAGAGAGATTTTAAAAAGATAATTGCGAAATGTTTATATAAATAAATAAATAAAAAGATAATTGGGAAATTATCTCACAATTAGGACCTTTTTTTTCTTGCAATTGCGAGTTTATATCTGACAGTTACGACTTTTCTGCTTAAAATTGTGTTTAAAATTGAGTTTATATCCCACAATTCTAAGTTTATAGTTATTTAAAAAAACAGAACTTTGAGATATAAAGCCAGAATTTCAAGAAAAAAATCTGAATTGTGAGATATAAACTTAGAATTGTGAGACAAAATTCCGAAACTGTGAGATATAAACTCAGAATTTCAAGAAAAAATTCAGTTTTTTTAGATATAAACTCAAAATTGTGAGAAAAAAATCCAGAACTGTGAGATATAAACTCAGAATTGTGAGATAAAAAGTCACAATTACCTTTTTTATTTTTTTTTATACTGGCTTTCATAACAAGCTATTTTAAGTTATATTAATGTTTCAATATTACCATTTTTTTCTGTCTTTTTCTGTATTATCAAATTAAAGGTTCTTTTAAAATCATTTAAAAATCTCTCTGACCCCAAACTTTTGAACAGTAATGTAGGTGTAAAAGATTTTGATCAGCTCACTCAAACCACATCCGTAAGTAGTCAAGCTCATATGGCATACCACTGCATAACATCACTGTGCCAAAACAAAGGTTTAAAGTTTACCAGCTACATACAGAAGACAGCCACTTCTAGAAAAATGAATGGGAGAAAAAAGTAGCAAAATCATTCAGAACCCAGTGGCCAAATGGTGAGAATTTGATTTAGCAGTTTGCCCTCCGAGGGCCCTCTTTATATTACACTGAAATCAGAAATGATACGGACTGGTTTTTAAATTACTGTCTGGGAAAGTTAGCATCCCTACAGATCGCAGCCTGAACCTTCACAGAGCGCTTTGATGACATCACAGCACCTCTCACTGGCACATACCTGATACTGCAAGTTTGGAACGTCGGTTGTGTTCCGAATGGAATTGCGGTGTGTTCTACTGCATATTGTACAGTATAATACACTGTGTACTGCCTACTTTTGTTTATTTAGAAGAATTATTTGAAACAAGATCAAATAAAATATCATGACAAAAATGTTTTTTTGCTGTAATTATGCTACATGACCTCTGTTTAATTCAGCAAGCACCTTGTAAATGTGTGAAAATGTCTTAAATTTTGTCATTCCAATCATATGAGTCATCAAAAAGATGTTAATAATCGCTGTTGATGCTGTACTGTATATTGGATAATGTGGTTCATTCATCACATTATAAAACAGAAGTTTGGTAAGTTGAGTGCATTGCATTGTGAGATACAGTATTCCTTGCAGTGTGCTCTGGTTTTATCGCTGCATGTTTTGGCCACTACCATTCAAAAGTGTTCATTTTTTAATATTTATATTCAGCAAGGATGCATTAAACTGATCAAAATTGACAGTTGAGACCTTTATAATGATACAAAAGATTTCTGATAATTGATGTTCTTTTGAACTTTCAAAGACACCTGAGAAAAAAAATTATCATGATTCTCACAAAAATATTAAGCAGCACAACTGTTTTCAACATTGATAATAATAATCAATGTTTCTTGTGCAGTAAGTCATCATATCAGGTTTCTGAAGGATCATGTGACACTGAAGACCGGAGTAATGATGCTGAAAATTCAGCTTTGCATCACAGAAATACATTACATTTTAAAATATATACAAATAGAGCACAGTTCTTTTAAATTGTAATCATATTTCACAATATTTCCGTTTTTATGGTATTTTGTTTAAATACATGCAACCTTGGTGAACATAAGAGGCTTCTTTCAGAAACATGAAAAAATCTTACCAACCCCAAAATTTTGAACAGGTGTTTATACACGAAATTCCCATTCTGTGCACAGTATACATACTGCACACTGATGAATTAGTACAAATAGTATGGTAGTATGCTAACCCAACTATGTTCAAAAAAGCATTAAAGTGCAGTATGTATACCATGTACAGTACACAGATTTTCTGTATGCATGAACTATTGCAGTACTGTATTTGCCAAATGTGTGGTGTACAGCACATTTAATGAAATACCGAATCCCACAATGCAATTTGGTTGACTCAACCTTCCATTTCCAATGTTATGAAAGTACCAGAAGTAAAATCAGCCACTTTTTAAAGGATAGTTCACCCAAAAGTGACAATTCTGTCATCATTTACTCATCGTCAAGTTGACCTAAACCTGTATGAATTCTGCTTAACACAAAAGAAGATATTTTGAAGAATGTACGTAACCAAAGAGTTTCTGGTCCCCATTAACTTCCATAGTATTTGGAATCTATGTAAGCCAGTGGGGACCAGCAACCCTTTGGTTATACCATTTTCTTCAACAGAGGAAAGAAACTCATGAAATTTTTAGTTTAGGTGAACTATCCCTTTAACAATATCTTCGCACATTATTCGATCAGTCTTACACTATGTTAGAACCAATAGTTTTAACACAAAATTGACAAAAACCTTATTAAATGATTCAGCTGTCCTGCAGAATCGAACACTCTTTTTCAACAAGATACCTATAGCCATTAAATACTCTCTTTTATCCATGAGACCAAGCTCGCTTCACCCTCCTGAAGCTTTCAAAACAAGAGATACAGCCTCCTGCGGTCCCATCATCTGTCATCGCTAATAAAGCATGTCTGCTCACCAGGACGAAATACTGTAGATCAAAACAACACAGTAGAAATAACATATATATTTCATAACTTTAGAACTTCATACCATAACTTTCATAAGTTCTTCTATGTAGGCCATCTCCGAAAGAGTTTCTCCCCTCAACTCATTCTCAGGTTCTCATAAGTGAATGTGCAGTGCAGCGCTTTCAGAGGCCTGCCTCTCAAGGACAGAGCACATTAGGCTGATTAAATAAAGACAGAGAGTGATTTATAACAGCTCTGTCCCACTCTATTCATCAGCAGGCTCTTGACTTAATAAAGTATTGATATTTAGGTACACAGGGAACGGGCAGCGTTTCAGTGGTGACGGAAGGGCGCAGGGGAACGGCTCCTTAGAGGAGCAGTGCTGCAGGGCAGTAAATGCATCTCCTCTCCACACGGGACAGAGACTGAGACTGAGGGAGTGAATGCACTGATCTCTCGAGCTCAGATATGATGTGAGGGACATGGCTGTCCAAACAGGCATTGTCACCTTCTTCTAGAGCTGTTCCATAGTACAAATGAGCAAGCTACAATTTTATTATCATTATTATTATCGTTGTTGTTTATTTTTATTTTTTCCAGACCATACAGAAAAACATGTTACATTTACATAAAGCAAGTGCAATTCAACAAAGACATTGAAATTATATAAAAATCTATCATTCTAAGAATATATAAGAATATATCATTCTTCTTAAGCAAAATGTGGCTTTTTTT